AACACCTCCTTTTAATTTGCTTAGAAAACCTGCCGCAACCGGCCTTGCCCATGATTAGCCAACCTGCATTGAGAACAGAATAAACAACTAGTAAGGATAACAAATACATAAGCATACAAAAAAGTACATTAATAACAAAAAAGCACATTAAGCATACAGAAAAGAACATTAACAAAATCTATGCCAACGGCCTGGCCGTCAGCACACACCCCTTCCAGGAGCTCCCAGCAGACGCCATGTGGCACATATGTGTTGACGGCCTGGCCGTCGGGATATACCCCTGGAGAAGCTCCCAGCTGACGCCAGGTGGCACGTATATGCCGACGACCCTGCAGAAGATCCGACCAGACGACATGTGGCACTTATATGCCGACGGTCGCCGTCGGCATATACGTGCCACGTGTCGTCTCTTTGATGGATCCACTTGGTGACGGCGCCGTCAGTTGCCGCCTCGCCATTTTTTGTGCCAACGGTTGTACAGAAGCCGTCGGTATATATGTCTATGCCGAGGACATATTTATGACGACGGTTTGACAAGCCTATGCCGTCGAGATCGAAGACGACGGGCCTATGCCGACGGGCCTATGCCGACGGCATCAGGCCCTCGGCATAGGGGTATTGGGGTATACCGACGGCCTCAGGCCCTCGTCATAGGGGTTTATTCCGGTAGTGACTACACGCTTTCGCCTCAACAGATTGCCCTCTACTTTGAGTTTTTAGAGATGATGTCTGAAATAATCATTCATGGGAAAAAGGTTGAATTAAGAAACATTAGCATGTATATGAAAGTTGTCTGGTGGACAACATCTAGGCCATGGTTTTCTTGAATCCTAATATAACATTGGTTCATGTCACAGTGGGAGACTTGAAAACCCAGGTTCATACTGTATTGCTTTGTAGGCATGTAATGGATTTGGGGATTTCTTTAGCTTCTTCGAGGCTATTTCGAAGCGTCGGGAAATGTCTTGGATGCTGCAATGAGAGGCTTCAAGGATTATTTGGCGTCGGGTTCAGCACCAACCAATGTTGATGCGGCATCATCTAGAGGTATGGCTGCTGAACGAATATTGCTCAAAATTAAACCTGACATTTCTTCCTCATGTTGCCTGATGATTATGTCAGGTGATATAGACGAGTACTAATAATCTTACAATGTGCATCTTGTCTAACTCAAGTTGTTCATACGTCAATGATTGTTAATCGCAGTGGCATCGGATGTCCCGGTGATGAAGATGAATAATCCGACAAACGGCACTGAATGGGTGGAGCTAATTGTCAAGGAGATGTCGGCCGCTTCAGATTTGATCGACGCCAAGAATCGAGCCTTCAGGATACTTGAATTGTTCGACAAATCTGCCGCACACTGCAATACTCCTGATGAAAAGCAGAAAATGCGTGAGGTAACTGATGCATCTACTGTTGATTGATACGTGCTCTGTTAATAATTATGACATACTACCGTATCATATTGTAAGACGTTTTTTTGACACTACACTAGTAGGAGTGTCAAAAAACAGGGAGTGGTACATTGACAGTAGATCACAACCATAAGACACCAATTGATACATGATACTGCTAAATCAAATGTTACTTCTGGGATGTTGATCTGGAAATACCAATGTGCTCGCTCAAACTAACAAATAAGACAATGATTGATCTGATGATGCATACTACAGTACTGAACTAGTCTTAGCTGATGATGATTTAGACGGCTATAACGAAAACATGGCATCCGTTTTGGAACGGAGCTAGCAAGCATCTGCTAGGCTGCTCAAACGGCATCCATCACCTCACCATCTTGAGAGCAACAGCTACATAAACTACGACCGATCTGTTCCAAGCCATAGCCATGGCGGGGAACCATGGCCTGCTTTTGGCCGGTGCCATCCTGCTTCTCACTCTTCTCCTCGTCGTCAAGCTCAGGCGACGCAGTAAGCAGTATGGTGGCGTGACGCTGCACCCGCCTCCGGGGCCATGGCAGCTGCCGGTGATCGGCAGCATGCACCACCTCGTGGGCGCGCTCCCGCACCGCGCCATGCGCGACCTCGCCCTCCGGCACGGCCCGCTCATGCTGCTCCGCATGGGCGAGCTCCCCGTTGTTGTGGCCTCGTCGGCGGCCGCGGCGATGGAGATCATGAAGACCCACGACGTCGCCTTCGCCACGCGGCCGAGGACCAACACCATCGTTGCGCTCAGTGGAGACGGCCTCGGCGTCGCCCTCGCGCCGCACGGCAACCACTGGCGCCGTGTCCGCAAGCTCTGCGCCACGGAGCTTCTCGGCGCGCCGCGGGTTCGGTCGTTCCGAGGGACGCGTGAGGCCAAGGCGGCCGCCCTCGTTGCGTCCGTGGCCGTGGAGGCGGCGTCCGGGGCCGCTGTGAACGTCAGCTCCCTCGTCGCCACGTATGTCGCCGACGCCGTAGTGCGCTCCATGGTTGGCGACCGGATCGCGGACCGCGAAGCCTTCCTGGCGTGCCTTTACGAGGGTGTCAGGGTGGCCGCCGGGTTCAGCCTCGCCGACCTGTTCCCGTCGTCGCGCCTCGCGCGCGCGCTCAGCGGGACGGCGCGCCAAGTGGAGGCGATGGTCCGGGAGATGTCCCGGCTCGTGGGCGGCGTCATCGAGGAGAAACGCGCGAGGAAGGCGGCCGGCGCCGGCTGCGAGGAAGAGGAGGACATCCTGGATGTGCTTCTGGATTGCGGCGGCGGCGGCGGCGGCGATGCGCCTCTCGACATCGGGACCGTCCGTGCTATGATGAGGGATCTCTTCGGGGCCGGGAGCGAGACCTCGGCGTCGACCATAGTAGCCGGAAACGGGAAACGGTGGACCGTCCCTTGATCCGGATTCATCGACCCAGAATCAGATTCGGGAACGGGGTCGATTCGGTAAGGTTCGATGCGGATTCGGCGTTTCCGCGGCCGGTTCGTCGATTCAGGCTCGGCGACTCGACAGTCTTGGTTCTTGAATCGATCGAGTAAGCAAAAGGTCAGCCATATCAATCACAAACTCCTCGTTTTACTTCCTGTCCCGTTCTTTTCCACTCCCCTAAATAACTCCTCGTTCTGCTCTCCAATTACTCCAAGGCTGCTAATAAATTTTCCATTGGGAAGGAGATGATTTATTTTAGTCTTCATGGATCCACGATGCAGCCAGCTAGTAAAGATTCACGTTCCTCGTTCCATGGTACCGTACCGGATTCATCGTACCGGAATTGAATGGATCACGTTTCCGCTTTAGATAAATCGTTCTAGAGATGTATACCCCCGCTGTACCCTATTTTTTCCAGCCTCCGACTCTCGTCCCCCGTTCCCGTTCCTCGTTCCCACCGTACCGGAAACATGGCAACTATGGTGTCGACGTTGCAGTGGGCCATGGCGGAGCTGGTGCGGAAACCGGCGGCACTCCGGAGGGCGCAGGCGGAGGTGCGCAGCGCACTCGCCGGGCAGAGCCGCGCCCGGGAGGAGGCCCTGCAGGAGCTGCCGTACCTGCGGCTGGTGATCAAGGAGACGCTCCGGCTGCACGCGGCAGTGCCGCTGCTCCTCCCGCGGGAGTGCCGCGAGCCCAATCACGTCCTCGGGTACGACGTGCCCCAGGGCACCATGGTGCTCGTCAACGCATGGGCCATCGGCCGGGACGCGTCGAGCTGGGGGCCGGACGCCGAGGAGTTCCGGCCGGAGAGGTTCGAGGAGGAATCCGCGGCGGCGGTGGACTTCAGAGGGACGGACTTCCAGCTAGTGCCGTTCGGCGCGGGGCGGAGGATGTGCCCCGGGATCACGTTCGGGCTCGCCGTCATGGAGGTCGCGCTGGCGAGCCTCCTCTTCCATTTCGACTGGGAGCTCCCCGGGGGGACGGAGGAGCTGGACATGGCGGAGGCGTTCGGGATCACGGCGAGGAGGAAGACCGACCTGTGGCTGCATGCCACCGTCATCGTGCCACCTCTGTAAGTAAAATTGCATGTGGAGATCGATCAACGTGTGGGAAATCTGTATGATCGATCTTCTAGCTTGCGGCTATGCAGATTTGTCTCAAAACTCATAGTACGATTCTTGTTGAGTTTCGCATCTTGTGGAAACTCCCTGTTGAAGTAGTGCTCCCTCCGTCCCCGAAAAAATGTCGGTCGCGCGGGCAGTGTACCGGCAATTTTGCAAAAACGCCCTCGTTCTTTCAAACAATGACAATTTCTGGTTCTAAACTGTCAATTTCTCAACACTGAAGTTGATTTATGTACTGATAATTTTTTAACATTACAACTCCTTCTGAACTCCTTCTGAGTTAAGTTTTGATACTTGCCTCCATCTCGCTCTGAGCCGCTGAGCCGCACCCGCCCCCCCTCCGCCGGCGGCCACTCTGGCCCCGGCGGCCACCTCCCCCCGCCGGCGGCCACTCCGGTCCCGGCGTCCCTCCTCCGCCGGCAGCCACTCCGGCCCCGGCGGCCACCTCCCCCCGCCGGCGGCCACTCCGGTCCTGGCGTCCCCCCTCCTTCCCTGCCCCTTCCCTTCTCCCTTAGGTGTGCGCTGCCATGGCATCTGGCGGCGGCAACCCCTCTTCGGCCTCGCCCAGGCTGCAGCCTATCGTCTCGGGCCTGGGGCTTTCGGAGTCGCTGGGATCTGCTGGCTCGTCGGCCCGGGCTCCTGCAGCCGCTCGCGACGCTGCGCCGGTGCCGGCGGCGGGCCCGGCTGTGCCCTGGCGCCGTCCTGGTCCCTCCCGCAAGGCCATGTGACGCCGGCGCAAGGCGCTGCAGAAGCAGTTCGCTGCAGGCAGGTCTGGACCTCGTTCGCGTTCGCCTTCTTCCTCCCCGGCGAGGCAGGTGGTACCGGCGGACCTATTTGGCCTGTGTTTCAAGTGTTTTTGGGAGGGGCATCGGAGGGAAGACTGCACTTTTCAGCCTCTGTGCATCCGCTGCGGGCTCGAGGGCCACATCTCGCCGGAGTGCAAGAGGCCGCGGAGCCCTCGCTCTGAGGAAGATCTCCGGCGCGAGGCCATGGCCAAGGTTGCACGCTCCTCTCAGCAGCTGCGGCAGGCTGGGCCTGCAAACAGGCTGTCGCCGGTCGCTCGGCAGGCCGCTCCGATGGAGAGGCCCTCGCCAGTGCCGGCCGACACCGCACCTGTGGGGCTCAGCCTGGCACTGCAAGCTTCTGTAGGAGGTGTCTGCATCCTTCGCCGCACGCCGGAGGTGGACGACCTTGAGTCCCGGTTCAAGCTCGCCGTGGTGGCTTACATCGGCGGACCCCGACCGCCGGTGTCGTGCCTGGATGCCGCAGAGGCCATCGCGACGGAGCTGAACATCCCGCGCCATTGCTTCTCGGTGCACAAGTACCAATCGGAGGACTTTCTTGTGGTCTTCTCTTCGGCGATCTGGCGGAATAGGATTCTGTCTGCGGGCTCTGTCGACCCCGGGCCGTTCAAGCTCTTTGTTCGTCCGTGGCTGCGACAAGCGTAGGATGTGTCGAGGATGATGCGCACGCATGTTGATCTCATGATCGAGGGAGTTCCATGTCATGTCTGGACCAGGGAAATGGCGGTGGATCTTCTGGGCACGGCGTGCCTTGTGGACAACCTCGCGCTGGAGACAGCCACCAGGGAGGACTTGTCTCTATTCAAGGTTCGCGCTTGGTGTGTCGACCCAAACGCGGTGCCGTCGGACAAGCTGATTTGGGTCCCGGAGCCGGAGGTTGACAAGGGACCGGCGACGAGGCTGCCGACCTCCCGGCAGCTCTTGGAATACAAAGCGCTCATCCATATCGGACGGATCAGGGAGCACGAAGGGCCGGGCACATGGCTGCGGCCTCCTAGCTCCGATGGAAGCGGCCAGACTGGCCTGCCGGACGACTCAGGCGACTTCTCTGGCCGAGGAGAATGGAGAACCCTGCCCTGGACGCGGGGAGTGCACGATCACCGCGGCTCGTTCAATGGTCACCATGGAGGCTCGTACAGGCAGGCTCTGCTGGGGCGCATCGGGCCTTCCAACTGGTGCATCCCTCCCATGGCGGATGCGGCGCAGTCTCCGCGCGGCCACGTGCTACTGATCCGGTGGCCATGGTGCTGACGCCGGGCGCAGCTGCGGCTGCTAAGGTGGCTGGGAGTTCGCCGGGCAGGCCTGGGCTGGTGGAGGTGGAGCTGGCGCCTAGCAAACAGGTGGGGTCTGCTTTGCGGTCACACGCGCAGGATAGAGTGGAGCCTGCTGCCGATCAGGTGCTTTTTGACCAGGCATCGGGACCATAGCTGCCTTTAATTCAAACCGGGCCGGAGGATAAGAGCGACATGTGCCAGGAGGATCAAGCCCTTCTAGAGCCAGCCGACATGGAGCCTGTCACAAACATCAGAGTTGATCCAGAAGGATCGGGGGATCCCGAGGAGCGCATGCTGGTTTCGCCGCTTTCTGTGGGGCAGGGCGAAGATTCCCAGACCCTGGCCAACCGCGATCTGCCAAGTGCTGAGCGGGGCCAGGGGGAGGCGGTTCATGCGGATGATGAGCCAGCGCCCACCATGGAGGTGGGGCCACTGGAGCGGGCGGACCCCAGCCTGTTGGTGTTGTGCGTGGCAGGCGAGAGGGGGCCAGCCTCGTATCCCCTGCATGCCGCGCCCGAGGTGGATCCCGCGCCACAGGACAAGGTTGGGGGGCAATCGGATCCCGAGGCGATGCAGGAGTTGGGTCCCGTGGGCCTTGGTGCGGAGGTGACTACGTACAATGCATGCATGCACGAGGAGGCGCTAGGAATTGCTGGGATGCAGCTGGGTGGGGCTAATACTAGTGCTTTGGCCATGCCTTTGTCCAACAAGGAGATCATTGCCATCGGCAACATCAAGGCCTTCTGCGCAGGACTTCTGAAGAAACTCGCCTCGCCACTGCTTAAGGAATTTGAAGGGCTTCATGGGCCAGGACCCTTTTACACCGCGACATGCCACCAGGTCTGGGCGTGTTATTGGGCAGAAGATGAAGACTAAGGTGTCGGCAGCAGAAACGGTTCTACTAAAGGCTTTGGGTTTTGCTTGCGATGATCTGGCGGTCTCTAATGACGCGCTAGAGCAGCTACGCACGGCCTTTGACTCACCGCTCCAGGAACCTCAGCTCAGAGTGATCGCAGCCATTTTTGGCAAAGCGATACCCCTAGACCTTGGACTTGACCCGGAGATGGGTGCACCGATCATGGTGTGATTGTAGAAGGGCTCGTCGACATGGAGACAATCGTTGTCATGTCGCACGCAGGGATAGAGTTAGTTTGTTGGAATGTGCGTGGTCTAAATGGGCCAGCTAGGAGGAAAACCTTACGTGAATTTCTAAGCTCATTGCATGTGGTGATTTGTTGTATTCTGGAGACCAAATTGGAGAGGGTGGATCAGTTCACCATTATGCAATGTATGGGGCCTAATTTCGACGGCTACACCTATCTTCCGGCGGCTGACACTAGGGGTGGGATTTTCATTGCTTGGGACTCCACCAGGGTCCAACTGACTAACCACGTCAACGACACCCACTCCATCTCCAGTTACGTGTCACCGGTGGGGGGTCCACTTTGGTGGCTGACTGTGGTTTATGGACCTCAGGAAGATGGGCAGAAAATTGAGTTTCTGCATGACTTGGCGGAGTGTAGATCGGTGTGCCCCGGGCCATGGTTACTTATTGGAGATTTCAAGTTAATACTTCACGCGCAAGATAAAAATAACTCTCTGATCGATAGGCGCATGATGAGACGGTTCAAAAATTTCGTTGATGATAACGCTCTCAAGGAGCTCTTCCTACATGGGCGCAACTACACGTGGAGCAATGAGCACGAGAACCCCATGATGACTAAGATCGACCGTGCTCTTGTCTCCATTGACTGGGAGCTCGACCACCCCGGTTGCCTCCTCCAGGCTTTGTCCACGGCAATTTCTGACCATTGCCCCCTTCACTTGGTGTTGGATGATCACTCGGGGCCGCGGAGGCGGTTTCGCTTCGAGAAGTTTTGGGTGAAGATGGATGGATTCTTGGAGGTGGTGCAGGAGGCTTGGACTTGTGACGAGACAATCACGGACCCGTTCAGGAGACTTGACATCCTCCTTAGAAACACAGCAAAAACACTCGCGATTTTGGGCAAGAAGAGAGTGGGCAACATCAAGATGCAATTGGCAGTGGCCAACATTGTCATTCTCAGATTCGATCGTGCTCAGGAATACCGGGTGCTCACGGAGGAGAGGTAGCTCAGGAGATCGCTCAAACAGCTCATACTTGGCCTCGCATCGCTAGAGAGAACGATCTCTCGCCAGAGATCACGTATCACTTGGCTTTGGGAGGGGGATGCGAATACACAGCTTTTCCATTTGGTTGCGAATGGCAGAAGGATGAAGAATTATATTCCATCTCTCTTGGTAGATGGGCGCATTGTCACGGACCAAGCTGGGAAGGAGGCTGCATTTTATGACACATACAAGGAGTTGCTTGGGAAGGAGGTCGCTCGCGAGTTCACCCTGGATTTGGACGAGCTCGACATTGCTAGACTTGACCTGTCGGATCAGGATCTTCTTTTCAGTGACGAGGAGATATGGGCTGTGATCAGGACAATGCCGGCGGATCGAGCCCCGGGGCCGGATGGCTTCATCGGCCTCTTCTTTCAGAAGGCCTGGGAGATCATAAAAGTGGACGTCATCGCGGCTTTGCACAAGCTCTTCATTGGAAACGGATGCGGGTTTGGCAGGCTGAACCAAACGCTGATCACCTTGATACCAAAAACCCCGGAGGCCTCAACCACTCTTGACTACCGCCCCATAAGCCTTGAGCATTGTCTCTCGGAGATTGCTTCCAAGCTCTTGGCAAATAGGCTCAGTCCACGGATGGGTGAGCTAGTTCACATAAACCAATCGGCGTTCATCAAGGGAAGAATCATCCATGACAATTTCCTGCTCGTTAGGCAAATGGCCTGGCGGTTGCATCAACGGAAGGCCAAAGGAGTAATGCTCAAGCTCG